TTGTGTCGAAAAATTAATCATTGTAGGAAAATGTTTACCCCAACAAACCTTTTTGCAAATGAAATCCATGCATTATATGAATAATCATATGTGGACTTGGGGAACTGTTACTACGTCTCGCCAATAAGACTTAAGTTGTTACCCACATGGAACCCTACCAAAAATTGTCAGGAGCAGTCCACGTTGCCAAAATATATGGCCACCGAAGCCCACATACAATGAATGATGCCTTCCAACTGAAGACCCTTTACCGAAGCATTACCATTTGAGGCCCTTTCATCAAAGCTTCCCAACTTCTATGGGTGTCAAATCAAAGATGGTTCCCAATAAGATCCTTTGTGAATCTGGTGAAAGTGATTGGTGAGACAACCTATAACCCAAACAAATTAAGTCCTATCAGCCTATTGACCACGGATGCTGAAGTGATTGATGTGACAACCTACGGCCTAAACAAGTCAAGTCTTATCATCACGTTGACCATAAGTGCAGACACAGACGATAGGACGACTCCCCTTTCCCAAATACTTAAGTGCAACTTAGGACAAGTAGATGATGGGATGTCCCCAGTAGGTTAGATGAAGCCACATGTGCTTCATCCAACGGTCACAATTTCAATTGTAGCGCTATAGATATCATCTCTTGTATCATTCTAAGGAGAATGTAATTTAAAAAAAAAAAGAGATATGCAACTATTTTCTCTAATGTTGGCATCATATTCATCGTTTATTTCTATATCTTTGAAAATATTTCTCTTAAAAGGTAATGTTGTGATTGAATAACCTCGATGCTCAAACATTTTATTGGCTTGCGTATCAAGGAACGATTTTCTTTACATGTTGCAATGTGTAGATAAGAGTGGAGCCCGAATTTTTGTAGCTCATTTTTAGTGTTATCAATATATTTGGGGTTGTTTACTAATTTTCACATCCTTGAGATTTAGTTTAATAATTAATTTCATTTGATTTAAACCAAAATTTGTACCAAAATTATGTTTAATTCCATTTTGTTTAAAACCAAAATATGTATTTTGGTCATGACTGTAATACTACACAATCTATTATATTTGATTATATTAGTCACATATCTTTATCTAATATTGTTTTGAGAGAACATGGTTTGCGTGTCGAATGCGTGCATTCCAAGTGTGCAGGTAACATGCGCTAGAATAGAAGTGAAGGTGGGGTCTACTTACGCTTTGGGTCTCTAATGCGTGCATTCCAAGTGTGCAGGTAACAAGTGCTAGAATAGAAGTGAAGGCAGGATCTACTTACTCTTTGGATCTCAACCAGTGCCGGTCTTGTGATTTTTAGGCCTGAGGCGAATTAGGCCCCCAAAATTGTATTATGCATGCAAAATGTATAAGTGTATTATGGAACTAATTGTTAACCTGTTAATTTAAAACTTAATAGTAAAACAACAAACAAAATGTATTATACCAAAAAAAAAAAAGGAAAAAAAAAATTTGGCCATTTCTTTCTCAATTGATAACATGGCCAATCCATTTAGTCTTTCATGTGACATAGTTCATCGGAGATAAGTCTTGATCAATTTCAATTTGAAAAAACTTTTTTCTATGGATGCAACTATAACCAGTATGATTAACAAAATTTTATAAGCAATAAAAGCATTCGGGAAACAACCATTCAATGTTTTCAAATGTTGTAGAACTTAAATTGCTCTCGTTGCTTCATTTGGTATATAACACTTCAAGACTAATAACTTCAAATATAAATCATCTCCATGAATGTCCGAACATCCATTCTGTTCCAGATATTTCCCAAGATTTCAATAAATTGGAAAAAGTTATATGCCTTAACCTCTCCACATAAAATTAAAATCCAAATACCTCTTCATGTTCTTTAAATTGTTCGAATTGAGTTTTTAGAGAAGATAAATCTTGATTAATTATAAAAATGAAGTATTCAACTCTAAAAAATTCATTAGCTGATTGTTTTACCTTATCACTACCACTTTCATTAAAAAAAATTCGAATTATGAATTTTCCTCGAAATACAATTTCAATTTCCATTTTATTTGCCTTTTTCGTTGCTTCATCCATGGCAATAACAAATCCAGTTTTCAACTAAATAATCCCTCATTTTTTTATCAATGTTTTTCCAATTGCACGATCCTCCGAATTCAAGAAAAGCAACTTTCTTGATTTAAATTTTTTACATTGAACATCTCCTCCCTTCTCTTCTATCAATTTACACTGGTATCTTGAATCAATTCTTCATTCTTAGTAAATTCATTCGCGTTGTTCTATTGAATTACTTATCAATATATTCTGCTTGGTTTTAAATTAATGCCAATTCATTTCTTTTTCTTTTTTGAGCTTCAAACTCATATTTAGAAGGCATGACATATGGCTACCGTCCAATGATTAACCTAAAAATGATAAGAATAAAATATTTCAATCATCTCACAATTAAAGTTTTTAACATAATCACTACATACACCTGTGCAATTGATCTTACAATTAAATCTAACAAAAGCAATATAACCTGACAAGGGTGCAACACTACAACACAATCATATAAGCTGACAAGGTTTCAAACATTTCCTATTTGTTTATAAATAAACAAGGGCGAGCCATTGCTTACTTGAGAAATAGGATTTGAGCAAAAATTATGAAATGACACAATGCAACATTTTGAGAATTCTACCGTCACAACTCACAATCCTAAAATCAAAATTTAACGACAACAACAACAACCAATTAATTATTAAAGATAAATTTAAATTAAGCATAAAGATATATTTAATACCTTTGGCACCTGCAAATTATGTCAACACATTTAAATTGCATCACAACAATATCTAAAATTCCTATATTTTTTACAATTGAGATGTGTACCAGTAAACTGTAAGCCACCAATGAGACATGAGTCGGTTTGTTTATGTTATTCTACTAAATCACTAATCTTAATCTCAAAGTAAAGAATTGTTATTAATATATAATAGATCCGTGTTCAACAGGGATGAATCTAGGATTGGATCCAAAATCGAACTAATATGTGAAAAAAATTACAACTAAAAAATACTCTTAAAAAAACTTCTTGGGCTTGAGTTTGGGGAGGGGGGGACTGGGCCCGATGTTCAATTTTTATCTCGAGCATCCAACAATAAATTATCAAAACTCCTTCTTTGCTTTGAGTTTGAGTTACAGTACTTGAACACATGAAAAGTGGAAAACAAATCATACCCTAGTACAGGCTCCATCTCCGTCTTATCAGTTATCATCATTAATAAAGAAAAATTCAATAAAATAGCCCTAGTCAATCAACTTCATTTGAGAAATTGTTGAATGCAAAAATAAAAAAATAAAAAAAAATAAAAAAGGAGAAGGAGGAGAAGGAATACAATATACTAAATATATATTACATAAAAATCAGATTTTATGCCGGTAGGGTAGGCATGCAATGGCATTGATGGTGACGGACGACTGAGACTTGTGAGAGAAGTGAGTTTTCAACCTTCTTGGTTCTTCACTTCTCGAATGCACCTGCACTAAGTCAAATGAAGAGAGGAAGGCTGATATGAACGAGAAAAAAAAAAATATTTGAGGCCCCTTTAATTGTTGGGCTTGAGACATGGGCCTCACTTGCCTCTACCCAAGACCGCTTGTGGTCTCAACTTGATTCGAAGTTAACATATAACTTTTTGACACCTCACAAATTTAGTTATAACATTTTTTTGGATTTCATTATAAATAATTTATATATATATTATAATGAGAGGATTAATGAATCCGTGAAATTTGTAGATAGTAAGTAGATCATGGTTGTGAATGTTTGATTATAATTGAAGTTTCAGTTATGGTCTCCTAAATACCGAGTAACGTGACACACTATAATATGTGGTGAAAGATAATGATTAATTTTAAAATCAATTACGCCACCTATTGTAGTGTGCCACCTAAGCATAGTGTTTAGTATAAACTAAGCACTAATATTTAGGAGATCAAATTCGATTGAAATTTGACTATGTTTGAAATTTTAAGTTGCTCGTAAGGAAACCCAAAATGCACCAAGTATTGGTTTTGGAGATGTTATTTGAAGTGAAAATATATTTTTTTTTTTGAGAATATATGGTTAAAAAATAGGAAAAAATTATGAGTTCACAAACAAATTATTTTATTGAAATAATGTTATTGAAAATAAGTTTGAAAAAAACAATTAAATAAGCTATAGGAAAAAAATGAAGACTAAATCTGCTTCTTCATGGTCTATTTTGCCCATGATTCAACTAAACATAATATTTTTAATTTTTAAGTAGATTTTGAGAAATATTTGATAAAATATATGATTGAAAACGCGATTAAAAAAAAAAAACTATGAATTCCCTTAAATATATAACTAAAAATTAATTTTGAAAAATGGAGCCAAATATAGCTTGTTTAAGCCCCATTTTGGAAAATATTGCATTTCGAAATAGTGTTTTTTAAAGAATGTGTGATTAATAAATAAGAAAAAATTTCAATTTATATGTAAAACTATTTTATTGAAAATGATTTTTTTTAAAAAAGAATTTTTAGTAAAACAAGGTTCAAACAAGGACTTCATAAAACTCCCGTTTGGCCTCCATTATTTGGATATATAATGAGGGAATAGTTTTTTTTTTTTTTTTTTGAAAAATTGATGATTGTAAAAGAATGAAAATTTTTTTATTTACGTAAAATATTATTTTATTTAAGATTTTGTAGTTAAAAATAAAAGAGGAAAAATTTAAATTAAATTGATGAATTTTAAAAGGCACCAAACGGTTGACAACTCACCAATTTTAAGGTGCCAAAATTTCAGAGGTGTGCAGAACAAAACTTGACTCAGCCCGAATATAGCCTTGTTTAAATAGTGATTAATAAAATATGTGTGATTAAAAATTAAAAAAAAAATTTAAATTTACCGATAATATAATTTTATTAAAAAATATATGATTGAAAATAACTTTAAAAAAAATGAACTTCGAGAAGAACGAGGCTCACCTCCATATTTCTTTTATTTTAATCCTTGTAAACCTGCCGTTCTAACAGGGTTTTTCGCGTTTCGCTTCAGAACTGAAAATTACCCACACAGTGAGTGAGAGAGAGAACGGCGCGAGAAAAATGGGGTGGATCGGAGAGCAGATCGATTCAATCAAATCTCTACAGTTCAGACAAGTCCTTACGCAAGCGATTAGCCTCGGTTCGTCAGTTAATCCTTTCTATCACTCTGTATCTGTGTTTGTGATTATGGATGCAGGCGTGCAGTAATTTTCATTCTGTTTAGGTTTTCATGAAATTTGATTTTATACATGGGATTTCAGAGTAAATTCGCTTTATTTTTTCCCATTCAATTATTATTTGTTTTGAGTTTGGATTTTGACTTCATTTATCCGCGGGGTTGGATTCTGAATTTAGATGTTTTAATAACGTAAGGGAAGATCTTTTAGGTCTCTTGTGAAATATTATTTTGGATAATTAATTCTACGATTTAACATTTGGGGTTATTGACATTGAAATACTGAAGACATATATTAAATGATTCATATAGCCAAACCATGTGTTTTAAACCGCATTGTACAAAGGATGGCGATTTCAATTTACAAATCACTAGAGGTGATTAACCAATGGTGGTAGCTCTGCTTTATTCTGCTCTGAACATTACAAAGAATCTAGTTTCCTGGATCTTACGTAGACTTTTTTATATTGAAATCCCATTTCCAGACCATCGCCACCATTGGTGGTTTATGAATTGACCAACAAGGTTCTTGGTGTTACGGAATGTTGATTATGTTTTTTGCACTTTTAAAACATATAATGTTTCTTTTCATGTCTAATAAATTTTCATCTTTTGAGAGGGGCCTTTTTAGATGCTTCACCGGAACATATACGATGCTTCCATTGCCCTTATAATTAGCAACATTTTTATGATGCCAAATGTAATTTCTAGGCCGTTTATTAAATTACGAGCACAGACAATGTGGCCCATTTACCTTAATGTGAATGAAATTACAGGAGTTTTTTCTTTCTTTTTTCCCCTTTTATTTCAGTTCATCTCTGTGAACGGTCAAAACCATTTTCATAGTTTTTATTCCGTCACTGTTCTCGACAAGCCATTTTACATTTTCTTTCAGGAATGATTGTAACATCTGCACTTATTATATGGAAAGGATTAATGTGCGTCACTGGTAGTGAATCACCAGTTGTTGTTGTGCTCTCCGGAAGCATGGAACCTGGCTTTAAAAGGGTGAGTTTGTCAATAGATTATATTGCTACTTCCTGCACAAATGTGATGTTACCAATTAGTTTCAATGGATCTGGTAGTTATCAGCATCTAACTCTCAAATGGATTCAAGTCAGCCTAAGTTATACGTTTTAGTTAATTGATTATAGGTGTGTGTCATAATAGTTGATTCTTATCAACTGTGTAGTTGATTGATGATGTTTGCTGCTAAGCACCCCTCTTTCTTGGGATTGATAAAAAGCATAGGTCAAGAGTATCCATTGTGCAAATCGACTTGTACTCCATGCTATATTAGAGTTACACTTTTTATTACTTCACAATTTAGGTAAATGCCAATTCTTTTTAATTTTATCTTTCACAGATTCATTAAGAGTTTTTATTAAACAATCAAAGGATCTTACCTATGCCAGTTTCTATTGACAAATAGCTATTAATTTTGTGTTTTGTTTGTTGATTTATGAGTATAGCTCTACACATACTTCCTTGCATCTTTATATTGCTAGCTTTCATATGTTTCTTATTTTGTTACAAGATTTCGTATTTCCTGCTCTCCAAGTCACATAGACAGTCAATTGCTTTCGATATTAATCATTTACTTTTGTGCAGGGTGACATATTGTTCTTACACATGAGTAAGGAACCTATTCGGGCAGGGGAGATTGTGGTGTTTAATGTTGATGTACGTAGTCCCTAATCTTATTTTGTTTTGAGTATCATTTATTTTTCTCACTTTATAAGTTTTCTTAGATGACTTATTATTTGTTAGTTCATGGACCAATTTTCCCATATCATATTAAGATAAACACGGGAAAAGTAATATATTTATGGACAACTTCATTTTTCCCAGTAAATGTTTAGAGGAAAATAAAGTTCATTTAGCACTAACAGTAGGGCAAGTAACTCGAAGTATGAGTTCCTGTCACTGTTGATTTCTTACTACTTACTAGGCATCATCACCCACTACTTGTATGCTCAACATTTTAAAAGGTACAAATCTAAAACAAAATTTATTTATTTGTTTGGTAAAATATGAGCGTTTAATTAATGCTACTTGCAATTCTCCACCTGCCTATATGTTTTCATATTACAGTTCCAGAGAAGGACCATATTTATCATTTCTAAGGAAAATTATCGATATACCATGGTTAAAATCTTATATCAAGGTAACTACGATGCTATAGGACATTTTCATGAGAGAGAATATTTATTCGGTAGAAAAGGGTGTTCTAGTGGAATGAATCAAATTCCTTTTTATAAATATACAGATGATTGGAGGTTAACTATGAATGGTTATCCCAAAATAAGGATTAGCACCTTAAAGAATATTCAGTACCAGATGTCAAAAGAGAATGACGATAAAAGAAAAAAACACCCGCAGACCTATAGTGCCTATATGAATGAATTAGTTGGAAGGAGATTAATAGAGTGAAAATTATTGAAAAAGACTGGAGACTCAATGAGGACTCAAAAATTCAATTATGACAAAAAAGGTGATGTGCCGACTGCTGATCTTTGACAGTTATAGTTGATGTGAATATAACTGATGAAAGAGATGCATGATAAGTCAACAACTTATCAAAATTAGAAAGGGCAGATGAGTGGATTAACTGGAGCAGATCAATTGAGCAGAAATTGATTAATTGCATTGTCTTTGGAGGGCTATATTCACATATCCTTACCTCTACATGCTGTGAGGATGTTGATGGTGAATTGATTGACATTGTTAAAAAGAACGATGAACTTTAGATGTACTTGGGGATTTAAGTGAAACGATACATTTGATTGTTTTAGTGGACGTGGTGATACCTTGACATTTGAATGAGTTGAATGTCATCTATCTGATTTGAGAAGCAAGTTCAAAATAATCGCTTCAGGATTGAAGAAGCACTTGTTCTGAATTCAAAACATCCACTCTTATACGAGCTCCAGGATTTTAACTTAGAAGGAATTTTCCAAATGCTTCCCATCAGTTAGATATCATGTTTAGGCATTTGTTTTGATAATGTTGAAGTTTGCAGTATATTTACTGACGAGTATATTTCTTTCTTTTTGCTTTGTGTCAGGGGCGTGAAATTCCTATTGTCCACCGAGTCATTAAGGTAAGAATGATAGTGAATATTTTTTCTTATTTTTCTCATTTTTTTCTCTTTGCATTTGTATGTATCCTTGGGACTTTAGTAGTACTGGATTTTCTGTTAATAAAAGGACTAATATATATATATATATATTTTTATTTATTTATTTATTTATTTATTTTTGCAATGAGTGAATGGGAATAATGGTAAGTTTTTTTTATTGGATAAGTGAGAAAATGATGACGAGGGAAAGCTGGGAAGTAGAAGAGGGAAACAGCAAGCTTACTTCATTATGTTACCTTTTAAATATTGTTGAAAAAGAAACTAGACATAGGAAAATAGGAAACAGTAGGTGTACACACGTGAAACTCTATTTTCCTCTTCAAGGTTACAGTAATATTATTGAGCTCTTAAATTGTTTATTCTTGTTATATTTCCCTTTCATTTGTTTCACATTAAGTGATACTATTTCTATGTATTGGGAAGTGCGAAGGTGTGAAGCTAGTCGATCTCTCTGCTAATCTAATTCAGTAACTTTGCATTTGCTTTGCATTCTTGTTGTCTATCTTTCTAGTCATATTTAGTTAGTGTAATTTTTTGGTAATGCAGTTTGACATAGAAGACATTGATTAGTAAAATTTCGAATATGGAATCAAATATTGAATTGAAATGTGTTGACTCTGTGTCCATTTACTCCTGTTGGCTATTTAACATTACCAGAGTCTACATCTTGTTCTGTTGAGACAGCTAGAATGATGAAGGCAGATGAGGTTCCAGCATGGTGTAGGTTACTTTATCTTTCCGACAAAGTTAGTTCAACTCATGAGGGAATACAATTTAAGGCTGTGAAAACTATATCAGAAAAGGGATTGAAATCTGCCATAGTCCTGATTAGAGAGAACAATTATTCGCTGAAACAATAGTGATATTTGAATACTCTTCTTTTAAACTCTCACCTAATATTTTGTTCCAATTCAAACGGGAGTTCACTTTCCAGAGGTGTCATGATGTATGTTATGTTGCACGAACATCCAAACTGGCTGCAGTGGTTATTAGTCCACTTACACATATTACTTGTTATGCTTGCCATATAAGAGAAGTTATTTCATCTTCCTGCTGTCTCATTTTTCTTATCCTTCCTATTACATTAAACACAATGATGTTCTTTTCTTTAGGTTCATGAGCGCCAAGACACAGGAGAAGTTGATATCCTGACAAAAGGTACCATATATTTGAATTATTAATTTATGAAGCTATATACATTTGAATCAGTTTCAACTTTAATGCATTTTAATGCTAAACAATTCAGTTTACAATTGATTTCCTTCTATGCATTTGTCAGACAGTGACAACTAGTTATTTCTGTGTCTGATGTTACAGGAGATAATAATTTTGGGGATGACAGGCTTCTGTATGCTCATGGTCAGCTCTGGCTGCAAAGGCATCACATCATGGGAAGAGCTGTTGGGTAAGTTGATGGTTGGAAATGTTCTTGCACAATTATATATTAAATGGGCAGCTAGTTTCCTATATTTTAAGTTCTGGTTAGAAGATAAAAGGATACTTATCTTTTTGGGAGTAATTGACTTACTTTTTTGTGGTCTATGATGAATTATGAACTTTTTAAGTCTCCTAACATGTAGTCAGGAAAAAACTTGAATTTAGATGAACTTAGTCCATTTGGTAGCCCTTCTCTACAACACTCGTAGACATGTATTTGTTATGCGTGGCCCAGCTAATTAGTTTTACCCCACAGGTTCTTAATACTAATAGCAAAAATGATGCCCATGGGTATGGTAGGGAAACCACTATTCCACAAGGGAACTATCAATAATCTTGCTTTAGAAGATACTAGCAATGTGCTCGAACTAAATTGACCAAGCAATGTCAATAGCAGCATCTTTTCAAGAACTTCCATTCTTTCTAAATTCTCAAAATATTTGTACTTCAGAAAGAAATCAATGATGGAGAAAGAAATCAATGATGGATTGTAAGAAAACAGGTTCCCTGGAGACTGCAAACAAAAACCCATATAATGCCAGAAGCGCATTGTATTTTTCTTCCACTTGACTTGAAAGAAGGAAAATCCCAATAAATTGGAACACAATTTACATTTTCCTTTATGTCTCCAACACACGAGACAAAAAATTGGGAATAAAGACTCGTGCTATCTCCACTCTTGTAACTGATCAGAATCGCTAATTTACTCAAGAACCAAAGAACCTTGGAAGGATATTAGGCTTATGACTTGAAAGGAAATTGAGAAAGCGCCTTAGATTGAGTTAGTGAGGAGAAATATGCCATCATGAAAATGCACCTGGACTGTCTAGACGCTATCTTCCCAGTATGGAGAGGAAGAAAATGGAAGAGCTGTAACAGATCTATCAATTCTGCAAGATCATTTACATCTCTGGAATACTCGGTCTGAAATTAGCAATTGTACCGTACCATCAATAAATAAAGAAAAAAATGGAGCCATATTAAACGAACTGGTGTCAAGCGGACTAAGGAGGCATTTTATCCTTACTAAATCATTCTCAGGTGCTTTCTGCTTCCTTGTTAGTAATTATTACTCTGTCACGAGCCTATTAATGCTGGCCCGACACAAACCACGTATCTTAATATGACAGTTCATGGCAGAGTGAGATTGTGCTATACCTGTGTGGAAAGGGTGTTGCACATGGTGGGCCAGCTCACTTCACACCTGTAAATAGGATAGATGATGTAACTATGATGAGCTGCTCAAGCTGTGCCATAGGCTGTTGACGTTCGGAAGTTATAAATTAGCATAAATAATACTTGCGCTTAATCATTTATTTTTAGGCACTGAGCTTGAATGAGCTTTCTTAAGCCAAATATGAGGTGGTTGAGCAGCAGGATTCGTTCACTTAAATTCTAATGCTTACTGACTAAATGAGCAAATTGGAGTTGAGTTCTAATAGGTTACTAGCATCCAAATATATTCAGATCTAGGATTATTATGATGCCTGTGAATCCAGGTGTGATGGTGTCAAACCTACGAATTGAGATGATTTTGACTGCCTGTGTCTTTGCTGAAGGTTATCTATTTCTTTCCCGATTCTAATAATTTTGGTCATTTAAACTTTATGCACATTGTGGCCAGACCTTTGATGTGCTTGGATGTAGGTTACTAGTTAACGAGCAGTGTTAATCGGCTCGACATGATTTTATATTCTTGCTTTTTCTCATTATTCTGAATTCTGATGCACAATCTGCTCTCTTGTTTCTATCATTGCAGATTTCTGCCCTATGTAGGGTGGGTGACAATAATAATGACCGAAAAGCCAATCATCAAGGTTAGCCCTTTAAAGCTACATTTTCCGAGTAGTTCGCATAAACCGTTGATCACCCCCGTTTGTTTTATGATTTTCATGCGGAGCTTACTTAAATGATCAGAAAAAAACAGCAGGTTTAGTGTTTCACTTGGTTTGTTTCTCTTGCAGTATATACTCATAGGAGCTTTGGGATTGCTAGTAATTACTTCGAAAGAATGAGGGTTGTGAACATTGAACTTCGGAGATTAACTAGTATCGCCTCTCCGCCCAGCTCTATCGCCAGGCCCTTTCTTTGCAAGACCTGAAAAAGTAGCACGCAGACATTAAAAATTGGGCAGATCTGCATCTCTCATTTTGTAGACTGAAACGCAAAGGGGAATAGAAAACATTTTCTTGAAATTGGATTATATTATTTCATGAGCAGTGTGCTCTTCTTCTTCTTCTTCTGCTTTTTTATCCTCGTCTTTGATTTATTTTCGAGTTGAACATGTTATCGTTGATGCTGGAAATTGCTCGGACCAATTGATGAAACACTCCTAAATCAAACTTTGGAATCGAAACCTTGTTACATTGCTGTCCACGTTTGACATGATCATGACCTGTAGTTGACAAGACAATTGGAAAACTTAAAGCCGTATTAAGCCTAGGTCTAGGTTACGACGGACATTTTTATAACCTATATAATTAGTATTTTGCTGTTATTATATATAGTAAGACTAAATTTGTAGGGTTCATTCAAATTTAAGTTTAGCAGGTCAATTTGTAAATTATAACTCAGCTCCTTGGTTCTCCTCCACTTTATATAGGCTTATCAGTTATCAATATTGCTCTGAAACACCTTGCTGCTTCTCATTTCTCTTCTTTCTTGTCAATGTACATCAAGTTCGGAATTTTTATTAAACAATAAAAAATAACAAATATTAATAGAATATCAAATCTGAAACATCACAAAAGCCTCGTAACTAGTCAGTAACTTTAGGTTTCTGGTTTTGTTTCTTTTTTCTTGAAAAGGTAAGAGAGTTATTTTAAGGTGGGTTGTTTGTGGATTTTAATTTGGTGGGCTATTCTTAATTTTGAAAATATCAAGAAAAAAACAATTGATTCTTCCTTTAGTTTCTTTTGATATAATTTAATTGAAGATTTTGATTAAAGGGCTGCTTTGATTTTCAGAACTGAGAAAAACGGAAGGAAAAAACTGTCAACTTGGATTTCTTTAGAAAATAAGAAAAGAAAGTGGTGCTGGTAACTAATTTTGCTTTAATTATTCGTATTGTGACTTGAGTGTCAAATTATTTTTCATTTTTGTGTTCTAAATGAAAAGTTTTCCGGCGTTAAATTAACAAATATGCAAGTAGAAATTGCGACGAATACCAATGTTCATTTTCAGTGCTTTAAGTTTGGCAAACGATGTTATCAAAATGGTTGCACTACAAGAATTTATCAAAAAGTTGGCCTGAAAGTGAAGTTCGAGCTACTGATCGACTTCTTGAACCCTGCATGGCTTGCTCGATAGGGTAGATTATCTACCGTTGTGTCAAATCCTATTACATACTATGTACCAAACTTATTTGGCCCCAAATATACAGGTGATCCATTCCAACTGTTACTGATATCCCCATCTATAAACTAATGAAGTAAACAAAAATTGCACTATAGAACGAAAAATAGAGTCCCACAAGAAACTTTGATCCTTGCCTATATATACATTATTTTTTCACTAGCAATCAGAGAAAATTGAACAGTGCATGAAAGTTAATCAGGACAACGAGGTCTAATTAACATAATTGAATTTTGAATAGCAAGTCTGACTTCGGTCCACAACCAAAGCTACTTACTTAAAAAACATCAAAACAGAAGATTAATAAGAGAACACGCCACCTTTTAACTCTATTCTTCACCGTCTCCAGCTCTGTCATCACCAGCCGCCATCAGTTCGTCAAAATTTTCAGTTTTCCCCAAAACTATTTCGATCTAAAAAAATATAACACAGATTTCGTCAGGGGAGGTAGATAATTTAGGCCCATCAAGCACATACATTGAAATGCCAATCCCGGGTGAGTATTGGTGCTTCAAGGTTAACAATTGCTATTTGAAACAGCTTTGCACTTGTGGAACTCGGGCATTAGAAAACAACGCATTCAGGCATTCCAGGGAAAGAAAACAAAAGAAACAATGGCTGTGATATCTAAGTGTGCCCAGCCATATATCAGATTATATACTCGGTACTTACTTTGGCTTTTGAGATAGGTCGCCCTCTAGATTCATCTCTGATTTCAACAGTGGACGTCATGATCTCTGCAGCATAACAGAATCATCTTTGTTGATACATGAAATGATGAAAATACCAGGTTAAAATATTTAAGAACAATTACAGCAGGCTCCCCCAACCTATTAGAAGTACTAGGGACTTCAACAGACCATTTCTGATCATAGCAGCTAAAAGGACAAAATTTGGTTGATAACACAAACCTGCCTCTGATTAAAATAAAATTAAAAACGTCCTCCCTCCCTACTCAACTTCCTGTCGCCTCATCCCCGCCTCCGAAATGCTACCCAGGCAGGGGAAGGAGACATAGGGGAAACTGGAAGAAGCACAGATACTTATTACGTACCCGTATCCCATACATATCCAAGCTTGGATACTCTCCGATACTCATTGATACGTAGTGGATACTTTTTTTTTTTTAATTATTTTATATATTTTTGTATTTTTTTTAATTTGTCGATACGTGTCCGGTACATATTTTTTAATTATTTTCGATAAGTATCTGACACATAGACACATGAAGAAGAATGTTATTAGTGAGTTTGATTCTATTACTTACCAGTATAATATGGATTCAAAGACTTGTGGCTACTTTATGGTTCACATGTATCTTTGCTTCAAAGCATTAGTTTGAAACGTCTTGTGCAACCATCTTCTTAATATTGTGCTGAAAGAAATTGGATTGAGTATTCTTCTGTGCATTCTATGGGAACGAACAAAATAACTCCACAATGAGCTAGAAAATTGGTTTTTATTCATAACAATCTGCATCTTTTAACAAGAAAATTGGATTTCTATTCAAAAGGAGAATCCAAAATTTTAGACATCGTTGAAGATATGTTCGATACTCTTGAAGGTGTTGGATGAGGTTGTTAATCTATCATTAATTGAGCCAGAGTTGAAGAGTGTTATTTTTAGTGATAATAAAGAAACTGATGTTGATGATATTGAAGAAAATGAAGTTGGGATAATTAAGGATTAATATAAAATGCTTTAGTATTTTATTTTAGTTTTATTAGTATGCTTCCGTTTTAATTTTTTTTTTTTTTAATGAAATTATATTGAATTTTATAACACGTATCTGCTTATCCTAATTTTTTTAAACAACTTTATCGGCGTAACCGTATTGTATTTGAATTATGTATATCCATATCCGTGCTTCCTAGATTGGAGAATTGGAAATAGATGGTGGGGATCACATAGGGCAAGGATGGGGAGCACGTACTAGGGGTAGGGAAGATATCAGATGGGAGTGGGGGAAGTTTTGCTATTTTATCTACCTTTTCTACATTTTTTCTTTTCTTTTTGTTTCTTTCTAATTGAAATTATTTGGCTACCTACTTTACACTCCCAAAAAGTAAGCCATGTAGCTTTTAAATGGCCAAATAGATAGAAGACTCCACCTGGGACACTAGTTCTACAAAATAAAAATGTTGGGGACCAAATGTAACAAAAACTAAGTTGAAGCACTGCATTATGCATAGGTAGAGAGGCCTGCAGTAATTTTCCCAGCATTATGAAATGTAACATTCAGAAAGAAATTTTCAAAATAATAAATGGTGAAAAGATAATCACGTGAAAGCTGAAAGTCTTACTCTTCTCAACTGCAAATCCATTATTTTTCAGAATTTCAGCAATACTCACCACCGTGGAAATAGCTGCAAATATTGAAGAGTGCTTATCAATAATGGAGGTAAATAATAAGCCATAAAACTTAAAAATGTGGCTAGAAGTTCACCATCCCTAAGACAGGGAAGAGACTAAAATGAAAACTGAAAATATTGCAATGCAGTCCCCAAAACGAGAAAAACTGCGTACAAATTATGAAACTGTCATTGTGCAAATCATTGATATGAAGAAGTTTCAGTGAATACCATCAAAAAGAATCATATAGGCATAATATATAAAAATTTTATAGATGACTGCTCTAAATTTGGCTTTAAAGCAAACAGCACAAGATGAAATGTCAGAATTGGCAAACAGACTCAATTTAACAAATACCTTGTTTCATAGTTACGTCATTTCATGTGGTTTTAGGTCAACTTTTCCTATAAGTATATCATTAGTATTAGCTGTGCACCACATTACCTAGCCACAAAGAGGTCCATTTCGACTGAGTAAAAATGGTCTTAATTACGATGGGAGGTTGACCAAAATCTTTTAATGGAAAAAACTTTGGGAAAAGTAAATTGAAAGAAAAATTCTTGGCACCTTGTCATTTCAATTGTCCTCAACCCCACCCACCCACCCCCCCTTTTCCCCACAAAAAGAGTCCTATATTCAACCTAGCATTCATGGTGTCGTAAGATACAAAAGCAAAAGAAATTATGGCAAGCTAAATTATAATGATGAAGTTTTTCCATAGGAAGGGTCAACCTTTTTATGCCCGTTTTGTAGTTTCATTTCTAATTATTCTACTATTTAAATATCTTGATGCATTTATTAGAAAGTTTTCACAACATTTGTTTTTACTTTCCAGGATCTCATCATCTACAGCTAGTAGATCATCTCTATAGCACAGATACTTCAATTAGGATAGCATGTCTGTGTCCGACACGTATCAGACATGTGTCGATACCAATACTCCTTGGACACTCTACCATAAACATTTTCATTATTTATTAAAAATATTAATATTTTTATCACAAACTTATTAGTAAATAACAAATAGGTACTTATATTTAAAAGATTTCAACAAAAAAAATTAATAACAAGCGTAAAATTAAATTTATACTAGATTTTTAAATATTTTAATTAAGGTGTCGTGTTGGTATTTTTTTTGAAAAATCACGTGTCCGATAGTATCCGAAACGTATAATGTCGGACACACGTGTCCGTGTCAGTACATTATAGTAGATCATAATGTCGTTTCACCACTCCTAATGTTTATTGACTTTCCACGGCCATACCCGTATAATTCAAATCAACTGAATAGGATAATTTATCAATTAAATGTCTTATCTGTACAGAAAAAATAATTAAAATTGGGAGTGGTAGCCAGAAGCCAATTCCTTAAGCTATTTGAGGAAATACCCATCAGAATCTTATCAAGAAATGATGTTCAGGCAGATCAAAACGTCAATTATTCTTGCAAGTAAGCCTGCAGATGAAGAATTTTTTTACTTCATTCTAAAACGACATTCTTTCTGTTGTGTAGATTACATCAGCAGACCATAAAAGTTTGCCCCTTCACTGCAAATTTATACATCAACCTAGGTTCAAAAGAAGATACAATAGTAGAATCCTGGATTCACCACTCTAACGAAGTCCAACACAAGGAAGTGAATGAATTCTATTTGATCATGAGCATAAAATTTGAGCTAAATGCACATAAGCACTAGAACATGGAAAACAATTTAAATTAGACTGAGCAAATAAAGAACACACGGTTATGAACCCAAGAGAGGATAATTTGTAGTGGAAGTGGTCAACACCTTTTTGGATTATTTTTTAAAAGTAGTAACTAGAAACTTGGTGCATGGAACACAAGTCACAACTATTCTCCATCCAAGCACCGATCATTAACTTGGAGCATGGAACACAAGTCACAACTATTCTCCATTAGCTGAATGCAATTCATTCTTGTTAGCACATCACATTAATAACCAGAAATACAGAAACAGGGCCTTGCAATTACTAATTCAGATTCTTCACATGAATGTTGTACTTAAAACCAACAACAAAGAGAAAGAATAGAAAGAGGGGGAAATGCTTGGTTTAAGACTTGCTTGCTAGAAGCAATCATAACATCTATAAAGAGGACCATAGTGGCCCCAGAATTTTTTAACAAAGGGGGGGGGGGGGGGGGGAGAAAGGAAACAACAACTGAGAGAATGAAAAGGTGAAACAGTACCCATTCCTAGTGCAGAAAGTCCCACCTCGTTGTGCTGCTGCATGTACCTCTGCACATACAATATATACCAATATCAGACTCACGCAATCAAGAACCCACATTTACTATCTTCCATACACGAGCTTAGAATATCTATATACAGATAAAAGAATAAAAAACAGATGGGAAAAAAAAAAAAAAACGATTTTCCTCCCCGATAAAAGAAATAGAAAAAATATATATAAAAATCATATAAGAAGAAATATATATACCTTGGCGAGGTTGACGTAAAAGAATAGAGGCTTTTTAGTGTTGGAAACCTGGATTCGATTCCTCTTGTTAGACTCGCCGGCGATGTCAATGTTGTTTACTCCTTCGGTGATCTCTTCCATTTTTATCGATTTCTGCAACCCTAATTGAGTTGAAGGAGTCAATATATATATTATTTTGTATATGTAGTCAGTATTTTGTTGGAGAAAAATGACAATAATTAGCAATGGAAGTGCCGGGGCTTTAAGTTTGTTGCAGAGCGAGGGTTTACGTTTAAGCTGGGATTTGGTTTATTTCCCTGTAAACTGGGGTTCAACTGCGGGAAATACTGTTTTACCCGATTTGCCCCTCGTCTATATATATATATATATATATATATATTTTTTTTTAATTATGAAATGGTGATCTGAACACTCAAAGCTTAAATCCCTAACATTTCGAGTTCTATTAACTTGATATATTAACAAATTAAATTTTCTTTACGTCAACGACAAGTTAAATAATTCCAAGAGAGAAATGAAGTCCAATGAAGTTAATACAGAACAGAAGAATTAAGCTCTCGTTTGTTTCTCATTTTTGGAAGAATGAGAATGAAAAATATAGTCGTTACGAACCCCACACAAGAGATAGAAATTCAAATTTCGTGACTTAATGTGATAGATAACGATTATATTTTTCATTTTAATGAGAAAAGAATGAGAATTTAGGTCAAAATGAACCTAAAAAGCCTTTTTTAAAAATGAATGTTCAAAACATTTTTTACAATTTTTTAGTAGAGTAAAAAGTTACACATATTGTTTGACATAACAAAATCTCTAGAACATGTCCAGCAACTCGATAAAATAAAAATCTAATGTCACTAATGTTTGAAATATATTTTGAAAATAATCTTTGGATCACCAGCATACGAATTCATTCACATCATGTCATTCCACCCACTATCATTACACACTTTCCACCAAAAAATTTGAAAAATAGAAAGGGTGAGTAACAAATTATTAATTATACACAGTAACACACTTATAGTCTATCTTGTCTAACCATTCTGCAAATATGTATACTCAAAAATTTCTTACAAGCTGATTGAAAAGTTCACATCACGAGAATGATATCTAATAAAAGCGTTGCCAATAATCAAAAGGCCAAAATTGACGTCCAAAAGTTTAAACTGATTTGTCCAATGATTAATTTATCTCAAACGTTAGTATGGAAACCTAAATATAGAAACATATAGGACAGTACTCCTGCACATAGCATAACGAAAATTTGTTTTTGATACACAAGACTAAAAAAATTAAACATTGAAACAACCCAAAAAGATCATGTCCCCTTTATTTTCTTCAAGCTAACTTGCTATAAATTTATAATTAATATTTGAACGTAGCTGGCATAACTTTGTATGAATAACAGGGAAAGATTTGGCTTGAAAAAAGAAAGTCGTGAGGAAAACAATATTGTGTCATGTATGTGTACGTTTTATGAATGAGAATTGACGATTGACTATTCATTCATTTATAAAACTCGTGTATACATAGAGTCCATTTGAAATTTACCTTCAAATAGACTTGTTGAGATTTTCAAGGATAACCTTGTACTCAATCAAAATTGATTCCTAGTCGAGAATCAATCTCCCAATCCCAAAGATTCACGTTAAAAATTTAGGTAGTGGTTGGTTTGTATTTTCATTTTTAATACGATTTTTAGTTTTCTTCGAAAACAGTCGTTTTCTACGTTTTGAGCGTTTTTGACATATATAACTGAAAACGCTGAAAATGATAAAAAGTCGTTTTGCGTTTTCAGTTATAAATTTTAACTTGTTTTCGAAAATGCGTTTTCGAAAACAAAGGACCAAACGCGTTTTCTACGTTTTCGAAAACGAAAAATGGGCCGAAAACGGCAAACCAACCACGACCTTATTTGGCCCTTGTTTGACCCCATTTTTCAATCAAAATACATTTTTTAACAGTGATTTGATTTCATTTTAACAACATATTTTTTCAATAAAACAATATTACAAGTAAATTCATGATCTTTCTTTATTTTTTAATTATACATTTCTCATCAACATATTATTTAAAAATGTATTTTCTTTGACGAAAATAGAGCTCAAATGAGGGCACGAGGTAGCTCGAGACCATGAAAATTTTCGGAAGGCCGTCTTTTTAAGAAAAAACCTCTTTATCACGGTAGTGTGTGAAAATTATGAGAAGTTTAACTGGGGTTCAGCGATTAACCCAATCATACCACTTTCTCTTCAGCAATTCATTTCACTCTACAAAACCCACCTGCAGTAATTTCTACAGATCCTTTCAACCAGTTAAAAACTTCACGATAATGGCCTCAAATGGAGCTGATGAGTTCGTCAGAGGAAATGTGTTCCCAAATGGCGTCGCTCTCATCACTCTCGATCGTTCCAAAGCCCTCAACGCTATGAACCTAGGTTTTTAAGTTTAACATCCCTAATTGATGGTTATCTATTATATTCAGTGGTAGAAATTTAAATTTTTTAATGGCTGCCCGAATTTGGTCGAGGGAGCGAAGTGAAATGGGCAATTGATTTTTTTTTCCTTTCTTTCTTTTGAATATCTGATGCAGATATGGATATAAAATATAAGAGCTTTCTTGATGAATGGGAAACTGACCCAAGGGTCAAGTGCGTTCTGGTTGGAAGTAGCTCCTCTCGTGCCTTTTGTGCAGGTTATTGAAGCATTGTTTCTACGTCTAATATCTTTTTATGTGCAATTTGCTTTTAGTATCTGCAATTTAGTGTTTATCTTTTAAAAGGGGAGTTCTATTCTTACTTGTCTTTCTGAAATTTGACTGTTTTTCCAAGTGTTTGGGGAGCTATGGAGGTTAATCATTCATGGTCAATGCAGGAATGGATATTAAGGGGGTTGTAGCTGAAATTCAAAAAGACAAAACCACACCTCTTGTGCAAAAGGTTTTTCTAGCTTCATGAATATGTGCTATAAGTACTTGTGGCATGTAATCTGAGCTTGTTAGATGATCATCAGTGTGAATGGAAAAGTAGAAATTCATCATGCTAATATCAGTTCTTTTTGTTTGCTGTATAGTTATACAATTTGTGAACCAGATATAAAATTGGATAAATTAACTTAGGCAATGAATGCTAAACCTCTATTGACGACTTTATATGCAGGTGGTGATGTCAAGATGATTACGAGAAAAAACGAACAGTCAGATATGATTGAGGTCTTGTAACATCCATTAACTGAATAATACTGAGTCAGAACCACCTAAATTCCAAATTTAGAGAAACTTATTTTGCCATTGAATATGAATTTATAGTTAGAAAACTGTCAAATACTGTAAAAAAACCTACTTTATCAGCTGATTTACTCGATACAATGACATTAACGGGGATACCATGTCTTCACATGGTAAACATTCGTTGCACGGACCAACTTAACTGTTTCTGTGCAGATGCTATGGATACACATGCATAAACAAGCTTTACAATTGGAATTTTAATGAACTAGCTTGATGAAGTTTGCTGACGAACAAGCATTACATATTTATCTCTGTCTCCACATCGCGAAGCAAAATAAAATTGAATTTTCTTATGAAGTAAATTCTTTTCCTTGGTTTTCGTGAATCATTCATGAAAAAATATCTTGCATTTCATGAATTTTATAGAATAATGTCACTTGTAAACACACTCAACACATGGTTTGAATATGCTGCAATGAGGATGAGCCCTGTTCTTTCCAATCAGTTTTTATTACGTTTTGAACATTATAGAGTAACTCAAAATATCAAGTAAAGTACCTGTCAATTCCCTTTGCGATAAGCCTGGATGGATTGCAAAAGCTTATTACACTCCTTTAGAAGTTACTCAGCTTGTTGGAATATTGTCTCTATCCTTGTTATCATCATGCTATGACATGAGATTGCAAGTACCTTTTTGTGAAAAGAGAAAATGAAATCCTTATATGACCATTAAGTGCCAAAGATTGCAAGCTGCTTTTTTGCTTGTTTCTTTCAATGTATGTGCTCCATGATTGTGATTACACCTTCAACATATAAATATTTAAATTCTGTTGATGAAGAAATTTTTGCAGCACACAGTTTATCCTTGTCTGATAATTTACATTTAAATCTTGTTATAAAATATTTTCCATTTTTATGTGATAGATTAATCAGCATTTTGTTGGAGATTTGACATTTTTTCGTGACAAGTTTTATTTTTAAAGTCATTTGACATTAAATTATTCTTATAATCCCAAATTCCTCTCCAGGTGTTCACAGCTGAATATTCGCTAATATGCAAAATTTCTGAGTACAAAAAGCCTTATATCAGCTTGATGGATGGTATTACAATGGGCTTTGGGATTGGCCTATCTGGTCATGGTCGGTACAGGATCATTACTGAGGTAATCTCATTCTATAGTGGAGTTTTGGTTCCACAGCTTAGATGGAAACATGCGCCAAGTACTACTATCTAAGTTATTTGCCTTATATTATTATTTCAGAGAAGTGCCAAGTACTACTATCTAAGTTATATGCCTAATATTATTTCAGAGAACTGTCCTTGCCATGCCAGAAAATGGAATTGGCTTGTTTCCAGATGTTGGTTTTGCATATATAGCTGCACAAAGTCCAGGAGAAGGGGCAGTAGGTTAGCTTTTTGTTATTTCACTGGCACTTTTCCTTCCTCTAGAAATTGTTATATTGTTATTATCCTTCTTAAGAGGAAATATGGTAGATTTCTTCAAGGATCGCATGATTAGTTCAGGGATGTGTCCAACTGTTTCCCTTATCCCAAAAAATCAAACTCTAGAAGATTAAGTGGTTTTCTAGTATTTGCGAGGATCATGGAAAACTGTTTTAGCAATGAGATTGAAGAGGGATTTGGAAGACATGATCTTGATTATTCCGGGGATTTTGTGCAAGGGAGACTAATCTTAGGTTTGTCATTAAAGATTAATGAGTCAGTTGAGTACAGGGCAATGAAAAGGTGGTTTTAGTGTTTAAGATTGATTTGGAGAGGGCATTTGGCCATTTTAATTGGTATTGGTGAATAGTCACTATTGTACTCCCTAGTCTTTAGGGATCCTACGGAAGTTAATTATTAATGCCTCAGATAGATTTGTGGTGTTGCCTCCGCAGATTTTGTAGTGTTGCATGTTTAAGTTTGACACCCTCCTTATGTACTGATATTTTGCTAATTTGGAAATCAACGCATGGTTAATTGCTGAAAAATATAGATGAAGCTCCCACTTTAACAGGTCTTATTCTTCGATCCATTTGTCTTTTCATCTACTTGAATTTTGCAGGGGCTTACCTTGGACTGACTGGAAATAGGGTATCAACTCCAGCTGATGCTATATATGTAGGCCTCGGAACACATTATGTGCCTTCTGGGAACTTGGATGCATTGAAGAAAGATCTATTAGCAGCCACCTTGTATGTATTTCATTTCTTCGTAAAATCTTATGTTTCATGTTTAAGTTTGACACCCTCCTTATGTACTGATATTTTGCTAATTTGGAAATCAACGCATGGTTAATTGCTGAAAAATATAGATGAAGCTCCCACTGTAACAGGTCTTATTCTTCGATCCATTTGTCTTTTCATCTACTTGAATTTTGCAGGGGCTTACCTTGGACTGACTGGAAATAGGGTATCAACTCCAGCTGATGCTATATATGTAGGCCTCGGAATACATTATGTGCCTTCTGGGAACTTGGATGCATTGAAGAAAGATCTATTAGCAGCCACCTTGTATGTATTTGATTTCAGAACAAAATCTTATGTTTTGGTGTCTGGTTTAGTAATGTGAATCTGATTTGGCTGATGATGGCAAATTGGCCAACATTTTTAAATTTGAAGACCTATTTTATGAGAAAAAAATAGACGTTAGTTTCATTTGATTTGATTTGATCTCATTTAATTTATTTTCTTTCCATATTATTAGTTAGGAAGTTTCGATTGGGATTATTTTATTTTATATTTGAAGTTTTTAAAGTAGGAGTAGGATTTCACGATTAAAGTGAAATTGAATTGAATACAGAGAGACTGAATTTTCCATCTCCCAATTTCTTTTTCCTTCTCTCTCTTCTTCTGTTTGTTTCTCCTGTTAGCCAACAGCTGGACATGAATCTGTATTTGTTATTAATGAACATTGTCAAATGAGGTTTATGGTATTTTATCTGTCTGGATTCGTGCTTGAATATTTTGAATTTACTTCTCTTTCTTCACTGAAAGGAACGTTGTCTAGAGTGATCAGCATGATCAGAAAGTGTTCCTTTGTATTCGTTAAAAATGATGTTTTAACTGGGGTTGCTTGGTTTTTATTTTGGTCTCACTCCATAGTACATATTCTGCTAGACTGTCTTAACGAAACAATTTGATGCAGTGGAAACTTTATTATTAGAAAGCTAGCTTCTATCAGTCTATCATTCTGGAAAATTATGTTTTCCATGCAGTTCCGAGGACCCAGATCAGGAAATCAAAGCAATGCTGGAACAATATAGCACAAACCCGGAGTCTGAACCTCGTCTGAAGTTGCTTTTACCTCGGATAATTTCAACTTTTGGAGGTAATAAGTCTGTTAAGGAGATGATCGAGGAGCTGGAAAAACATCAGGAAAGTACCGATACCTTGGGTAAGATAGTGTCAAATTGTCAGCTGCGCATGTTATGGAGTGCACGTGTTGGATTTCTTGTTCATTGATGTTAAGAAACATGTTGAACATTTATTAATTTGGTAAAAGTACACCACTGGCTCCCATTCTATTGCCCAAGTAGCAGGTTGGATCCAGTCTTTCATTATAGCTGCACTGGTAGTCCCCAGTTGCAGAAACCATTAGAAATTCCTTTGAATTACCATATGGTCCTCACATCTCCAACTTTATAAAATTAGGTTTTGCTTCCCAATTTGGACTGACAGCTAGAAACTTGAAGTTAGATGTTTCCATGGGCCGTATGACTATTTAACGAAAAGATTCTGTTAGCGAGGATTGATTGTGCAACTACATTGGAAGTTTGGGATGAACTTGATATTGGGGGAATATATTGGTGATGAATGGTGTGATTTCTCCTATTAATTATTATCCTTTATGCTATTTTCTACTGTGTTCTTGGCAGTGGCTGAGTGGGCAAAGGATGCCTTGCAAGGGCTCAGTAAAGGAGCCCATTTTTCACTTTGCCTCACACAAAAGCATTTCTCAAGAGTTGCATCTGCTAGAGGAAAAAGTGACCAAGATTTGTCTAAGGTGATAAATTTGTCTTGCTTTCAATTCTTTGGCCTGGATGACATTAAAATTTTTGTAATGTTACCCTGTGTTAATCATCTTTCAAATCTCTCTCTAGCTGACTGGTGTGATGAAAGCTGAATATCGCATAGCTATAAGGTCGTCTCTTCGAAATGATTTTGCTGAGGGTGTTAGGGCTGTCTTGGTGGATAAAGATCAGGTCACTTCTTACACTTGGGTTTTTATTTTTTATTTTTAATTTTTTTTTTTAAATTTCCATTTCCATTCAATGAAGAAAATTTTTCACTAGTTCCTTTTGTCCATTAGTTTGGCGCTCCTTGATTACACAATATATAACAGCTTCTTCAGACGTTCTTTTATTGTTTTATTTATATTTTTGGTGTATTTTGTCTGAGCAGTTTGCATAGAGTTGGGCAAGCTGTGAGCTCACATTTTTCCCCTTCAAAGTGGGCTAAACTTCAAAATGCATTTCTTTTAATTGCCTCTGATAAATTTGTCTGCATTATCAGTACGCAAAAACAGCAGTAAAGATTGCACGGTTATCTTTAACTCGTGATCTGGATGAATGAAAACTAAGAAATTGGGATTTTTTTCAATGTTATTTATAACTAATTAACTTTTATTTGCTCTCTGACAGAACCCAAAATGGAATCCTTCAAGCTTGGAAGAAGTGAAAACCGATGAAGTAGAATCTCTTTTCGAACCCTTGAGTTCAGAAGAAGAATTGCGTGTGTGAGTCGTGGGCTTGCAATTCTCGCACCTTCGTGCATGAAGAGATCAATGGCTTCTTATTTGGATGTACCAAAGCTATGTGTCGATGGTTGGCTCCTGTTGATTCTATCCTGCCCAATAGGTGCAAATAAACAATAAAAGGCAGAATTCGGACTCTCTCTTTTTTTTTTTTTTCGGTCCTTTTTTAAGGACAGTGTGTGATGGCTACAGGTTCATGATATGGCTGCCCTTCGTTCTTATTATATTTGATTCCCGGAATAGTCTACTAGACAATATTGATAGTACGATGCATAAGATTATGTTAGGATTTGAGATATGCAAGTGGTGGTGATTCAACAAATTGAGATTTTAAATTTTTTAAAATTGTTATGTCGTCTCCAATAAGGATTGAATAATTAGCATACACGAGAAAAATTAAAAAAAATATAGCTAATGTCAGATGCTCCTTTCTCCAGCTGGTTTGAAGGAGTTGGTGATATTAAATGGATTGAGTGGGGCTATTTAATTCGTTCATTGTCGGGTTCAGCTCGACTACGTAAGATAGCTTGTGCACGTATACAAGACGGATTGAGGGCAAGCTAGTTCGTTTCCAAAAATCTCGGGTCCTTTGGTGGGTTGAGTTGAGTTGGCTCGTGAGACACTAGTGGCTGAGTTAAAATTATGGCAAGTATTTTGGAGAATCAATACTTTGTAAAATTTGTGGGCTCTCATATATATCGGAACGAGAATTACAAAAAATTCATATTCATATTTGTTAAAACTTGAAGTTTCGTCTTAGAAAGTAAATCTTATTAAGGAGAGTAGTTCAAATTCTAACAAGTTGGTCTATCATTTTTTTTTTAATCTTAATTTGATAGGAGATTTTTATTCTTTAGCATGTCATCACAAGAAGGTGGTTTGTTTGAATGGATCAATCTTGAAATTCGCGTGTTCAATTTTTTTTGAAGTTTAATCAAATCAAATCGTTCATTTGAATTTGATAGGCTTTGATACTATATTAAATTTGGAACTTCATCTTAAAAGTCAACATTATTAAGAGAAATAGTTCAAATCCTTACAAATTGATCTATATATATTTTTTTATCTTTATTCGTTATGAGATTTTTATTCCTTAACAATATTCATATAATAGAGCTAATTTTTAATAGCATAAACCTAATTTAATAGCCTAATAATCACAAATAATAATTAAATTGAATATAATAAATTTTCACACACAATTTCCTACTCAGCAATTGCTGCCAGTACCCTTTTATTTTCTTTTATTTATTTTTTTGGGTACATATAACAGCTCTCTTAATACAATTATATTTTAACGAGGGGTAGATAAAACTCCCGAATCTGACCGACCAAACTGAATTGAGCGGTTCTTCTTAAAAAAATATAACGGGTATCTAAATCCAGAACTGATGGGTTCGGTTCGATTTTTAGTTCTAGATCAAAACCCGAAAAATCGAATAAAAATCGAATTTCCGTGATTTTGTTAATTAATTTATTTTAAGTAAGTAAAATTATTTTATTTTTTATAAATAAATTTGTTAACTAGTTAATTTAATTCAAACTAAAAAATATGATTTTCCTATTTCTAATTTTCAATTCAAAGTCAAATTAATCAAATTAACCTAAGTTTTATCCAAATCTGTTACTCTATCGTAATACCGTTTCTACGATCTATAGAAATCGAATTAAAACTTGACAACGTCTCTCTTAATTATTTTGAGTTTGTTATCTTCCTCTTTCTATGATTTTAACAATCAAATATATGAAGAATTTAGCAAAAAAAGATACAAAAGACACATAAGATTGGACTACGTTATTTTGTAAGAGCTAAAATTGAACATATTATTAATTGAATTAATGTAACTTAGTAAATATTATCAAATTTAATTATAATACGGAACTTGGGAATCGAATAGAACCAAACTCGAATGATTCTATAATTAAATTTTAACTGACGATTCTACTTATTAAAAACCAGAGAATTTTGGACCGAAAATCGAATCGAACCGAAACAGACCTTTGCCTAACGATCTCTTCTCAACATACATGATACGCTATGGAGATACTTACTGGTATTGCTATGGGATGTTCCGTTTCCATAAAGGAATCTTTAAAATTCCATTCATCATTCCTTTCGTCGAGAATTACCGTTGAAAATATGTTGTTCAAAATCAATAAACATGTGTGTGGAATGAAAGTGAAATGAAATGAAAAGACCCGAAACAATGGCTTATTGTGTGTGCCATGCGACCGCATGGCCTATGGTAGAAAATTAGCAGCTGTGTTATCCTTGAACCATGCGACCACATGGTGTCGAACCATGCGGTCACTTGGTAGTAAACAAGTGATTATTGGAGGTCGTTTCTAGTTAGTTTTTTGGCGGCTTTTGGAGAGTTTCTTGCAACCTTTCAACATGGTTTTGGCATCAATGGCATTGATTGATGCCTATAAATAGGCCATGGATGATCAATGAAAAAATAATAGAATTCATATCACAAACATATGAAAAAACATCTTTTCATTCCACAAAGAAGAAACCAAAATCTTCTTAATCCATATTGAAATTCCCTTAGTGTTCTTCAAGTTTTGGAGAATCACACAAGTGCTTAAGTGTTGATTCTTTACAAGGCTTATTATAATCCTACAAACCATTTGTCATGAGACTCTATAAGTACCAAAATCATATCCGAGAAGGGGCAAATATAGTTTAAGGATAGCGATTACGCGTTGAAGCCTTCATGTTCGTTTTGTCTCTTCTTCTTCTTCTCCATTTTCATGTTCTTGATTTTTTGGTGGATTATTTCTTCTCCAACCCCGGTGGCCGAAAATTTCCCAACAATCTCAAACTATATTTTTGCGATGGAGAATGAAATATGGCGATAATCAAGTGATGGATTGAGGCTTTGTTTGTGAGGATTGTTTGATGGCATTAACTTCGCAAAATGGTTCAACTTGTAGAAGAATATGAATCCAGATCTTTTTGTAAGTCAAAATTGCTCTCCAAATTCAAATTTGGGATTATACATGGCTTTAATCTTGGAAGAATTAAAATTAACCATGTGCATATTCTACTACAAACAGGTAAAAGTATGCAATGACCATTGAGATAATGCAAAAATGTAAGTATTCGGATGCTTATTTGTTCTTTGTTGAATATTTGTCTGGTTAACTCATGTCACCTATGGAGAAACTGCAAATAAGTTCTATATGAATTTGTATAATTCATTAAATTCAATAATTGGCATCCTTGTCAACCATGGAAGGAATAACTTGAAATTAATTAGTTTTTAAAATCTGATTGCATTTACCAGACAATATATGATTTTCCCGACAACTGTTGGTTGCTTTAGTCATAATTAATAGATGCACGTGGTTCCAAAATTGAATCGGTTCATGCAAGTTTATATATGGTGTCTCAAATTGAATCGATGCTGACACTTGAAATTTATATTCTCATTGAGAATATTCTTGTTATGGTAAATAAACACCATACATATATCTGCACATGGAAAGAAACCATCTGATTTTATATTACCTTTATGGAAAGTTGTCTGTTCAATTAATGCAAATATTCTAAATTACTTTAGAATCTAATTATATATTTCACATGCATTCTGTGGAAACTAAGGAAGGCAAATGTCAAAAGCATATGTCATTTTTGACAGTGATGGTCTTAAATAACGTTGTGTAAAAAATCATTGAAGCCTTTTATGCACAAATTGAAATTTTCATATTGTTTGTATATGGGATTTCTCATTGCCTACATGCATGTTGTATTCCAGGTAAATACTTATTTGCATTCTAAATCTGGAAATTGGAAATGCGTATTCATGAATTTTGCTTTTGTACATGCCATTTCTCGACTCGCGAATAACTGCCATTGGAAACTTTAATAGAGAATTGTATTCATTCAATTCGAATCCATTAAGTGGTGGTTATAATTGAGGTGCCTGCTTGCACAAAAGGTATGCATATATATTATATATATATAATTAAATTGATGAGGATCAATGGAAAGGTGCATGATCAATAAATACAATATTGATCCATCTTGAACAAATGCATGTTTTGGCGATCATCCATATGCTTTAATGGTTAAAGTTTAATCTGCATATCATATTATTATGGAAATCATGTTATTGCATAAAAATCTCAGAGAGTTATATCGCTATGTTACATATGGGTCTAAAGGGACCTCTAATTGTATTGATTTGGAAAATTTATGATATGCTCTAAATAACATTAATGTGTAAAGGATATTGTGGAAATCAATTTAGATGAATTGATTATTCTCACTTTGTTGGGACAATTGGGAATGGCTCATATGCATGACATTTTAAGAGTGCAATTTAAACCTGTGGTGGCTAGAGATTTATTTGGCTATGGTTGTTATTCGGTGACTAATTCCAATACATTGGCTGTCACTTGCAAAAGTTATGATCTGGTCAAAAAGGCTTGTTTAACTTTTATATGTTAAAAATGACCGTGACTGCAATAAGAAAGATGAAGTGACTTTCCCAGATTGTTTGTGTGGTATTGGAAGAGTACCAATTGGTTTTGGAATTGCATGATATAGATCTCGGCCATTATTTAATTCAATTGTGGTAGTGGCAATCTTTGTTGTGAGAATAAGATTGTAAATATAGATGGAATATAACCATAAAATAAATGTATGCTATTCATTCACTTTGGTCATGATAAAGTGAATGCATGATTATTGGAAGAATGCGTTTGAATTTTCATCTCTTTGTTGAAATACATGGAAAATTTTATGAAAGAAAGTACTTGAACTTTCATGACCATTTCTTCTACTAGAAAATTGAAAATGACATGACAAATTTGTTTGATTGATTTCATGTCTTATTGAACTTATATTAACTTGGGTTAATGCTGATAGCCTCATTCAATCCTGTGGAATCAAGTGAGATGACTTTATGTCAATTATAATTGCATAAAGTTTGACAAATTGTGACTTGTTCTAGTGAAAATTTTTGCGAAAAATAAGACATGAAAATACTTTGTAGAGCACAAACTGTGCCTAAAGTTGGCAGTGGTGCTAAACATCCTTCAAATTTGGAAAATTTTGAATGTGGTGATTTAGTTAAATTTTCATATTTGGTTGGAAATTATACTAACTTTTCACGATAGCCTCAATCAAATGAGATGATCTTATACAAGGACAAACTCTGATGTTGTCCAAAAGTGAGTAAGGTGAATATGTGCCTTATTATTTGATATGATATAATGTTTCTTGTAAAAGTGACAAAATGCAATTCTTGTGAAACAAGAAGCTCTTATTTGTTGTTGAATTTGACTACTATCATGGAACCAATTAAATTT